CTTTTAAAAACTGTCGTCAGATTATGAACACCTACAGTTCCAGGATGAGAAACACAAGAAAGTAATAATCTTGTAATTTTATTGTTGTTCAATATGAATTTAAACCGTCTTCTGCTTTTAATTATTATTTATCACATTATACAATGTTTTAATCATTCCACTATTGTTGACAGAAATCGTTTGGATGAAAACAGACCGCTATCAAGACAGCATTTTATTTTTAATAAACAGATAGTAAACTTAAGCCTACATTTTAAAATTCAGCAATTGCTGCTGTTTTGCACAATGTCCCGCGACTTCAATGCGACTGGTTTATTTTTGCCGCGGTAGGCATTTTGGCATGCTTAAACACAAATGCTACCGAGTAACATGGTTTAGTAGCCTAACTGCAAGCCCTGAAAATGTTTTAATTTTATGATCATTTGGTTTAATTTATTACTCTTATGTTTCAGTTAATATATAACAAATTAAATTAACACAAAGTAAAAGACAATAACCTATTGACATAGCCTTTCTAAATTAAAGAAAAACTGGGCACACAGCCTAATGTTGAAGTGTACCTACTTCGCTTAAATTTGATGGAATAATAGAGGCCTATTTTTACTTCACATTTATTTCATTTGAATTTACTTTTTTCAGTATTGTGATTATGAATTCGTTTAACTACAATGTTAACCTTGAATTAATCTGCGACCTCAGCTCTCAATGAGCAGTGGCAAATTATGTCGGACACTTTAAATAAATAAACAGTTAATAAACTCGCTAATAAACAGCTACCTATTTAAGCTTCAAGAACGGTAAAACATAAAAGCTGTAGGCCAACAGCATATAATGAGGTTCGATCTCGGGTCGTTTGGAGGTCCATGAAGTCGAGGTTGATGCGTTATCCACAGAGCTACCGTTAAACTGCTGATGCGCTATTGTCTTATACGCTTGTAAAGCCCCATTGATGTAGCCTAATATGTTTCTACTGCAATGTTTTACGTTTTCATTATTTATTCAATTTAATTTCAGTATTGTGATTAATTAATTCATTAATTAATTTAACTACGTTTCACTTGAATTAATCTGCCACCAACTTTCAATCGCTCTGAATGAGCTGCGGCGCGGCTGCAGGAGATTACACAAAAAACGGACACTTTTCAAAGTCTGTGATTGTAGCGCCTCTTAGCGGCAAAAGGCAGTAAATACACCCCAAGTTTTACCGCCGCGGCAGAACTGCGGCGGTAAAAACCACATTCTGGTTGATTACCTACTGTACAGTGTACTTACCTAGAAAGTACTGGCTAATATAGGGTAAGTAGGTTTAGGAGTAGGTTCAGGGTTGGTACTAGTTATTACCCAGTAATTGTAGTTACTAAAATAAGTACATAAAAGGAAGCGTTACCAAGATTTTTTTTTTCACATTACCTAAATAGTGTGCATTATGTGAGGACATTGAAATGATCTGTTTAACGCAGATCTAAAATGTAATTTTATCTGATTATAAGCCCGACAAAGCGGAAGTTATTTTTATGGGTTAGATCAGTGGTTCCCAAACTGGGGTACATGAGGTGACAGAAGGGGGTACAAAATGCTGAGTCTTGCCGTTCATTTAATTCTACCCTACCTTAAAGCGATACTCCACCATTTTTTCATATTAAACTATGTTATTCCCTTAACAAAGACGAGTTGATCATACCTCTGTCGTCTTAGTGTGTGCACTCAATCGCTCTGGCGCGCGAGACACTTTGCTCGCCCTTAACTAGTTCATTCAATAGGGCCAGGGGCCAAGCAAAGAAGCGATCAAACACCTCCACTTTTTCCCTATTTAAATACAGTTACACGTAGAGTAATTTGACCAAGAATGATGACACAAAATAAAACGTTGCACTTTTCTAAGCGTGTAAAGTGGATAGCTATAATGTATGGTGTTACGGCCAGCTCGTTTCGACCGTACATAAAGAGATACAAGTACACCAAAATGACTTGCAAGATTTTATTTATCCCCAAAAAAATCACAATTAACTGAATATAACAAGGTCTAGGGTTTTAAATCAAAAGGGGAAAAATCATAATCCGGTTGGGGAGTAAAAGAAGGTTGGTATGGGCTGTAAATCAAAGGTTCAAATGACTTCGCCAGAGACTGTCAGTCCAATGGACGAAGTGAAGAGGAGATGTTTAATCCAAGGTTTTATCCTCTTCATAATTAAAGACAATCAGGTAGCAGGTGTGTGCGATCTCCCACGCTCTCAGAGCAACTACGCCACCAGCAGGCGAGCAAGCGGAACGCAGGGTCGTAACAATGGCGGAATACCACAGTAAGTGCTTGGGAGCAGTGAGTGCTTCGGCGCAGTAATATATCACTCGTGAAAAGTCCTCTCCCTCTCCAGAGTGATGATATTACTGCGCCGAGTCCATAGATATATATGCGCCGACTCGAAGTGCTTCCAAGCAATTACTGTATTTCGCCATACAATCCACTTTACACGGTGTTTGGTCGCTTCTCTGCTTGGCCCATATTGAATGAACTGGGCTAGTTAAGTTTTATTTATTTTTTTATTTACCTTTGTTTAACCAGGTATAATCAGTTGAGAACGAGTTCTCATTTACAACTGCGACCTAATCAAGACAAAGCAATCATTTCTGCAAAGTGCGATCAAAGTGTCCCGCGCGCCAGAGCGATTGAGTGCACGCACTGAGACGAGAGGTATGTATATCAACTCGTCTTAGTTAAGGAAATAACATAGTTTAATATGAAAAAACGGTGGAGTATCCCTTTAAAATAATATCAAAACTGAGCATGTATTTCTAGCAACTGGCAAAAGACTGTAAATACATGACATCTAATCAAATGATCTCATCCTTTGCAGTGTAAACTGACTGCATCCACACAAGCTGTGTGCATGTTAGTGGCTGTGTGCTGAGTATTGTTGCCTTAGCAAATCTCACTGCATTGCTGCCGTTGTAAACAATGTACCTTTGTAAAAGTGGGGATTTAGTACGTACTCGCATGAAGAAATATAGACACGGTGACATATATATATATATATATATATATACATATAGACACAGTGGATTGAGATCGATTTAAGAATTACAAAAACATACCCTATGTGAGTTTATAACGACCAAGTATGCAATTGTTCCTAAATATCCACACAATTGCACACGATTCACACAATTGCAAACTTGACATTATACAAAAGGTCAACAAACAAAACACTTTAAACACAGTAGTGTCAGTATTATGCCACAGCAGAACTACAGCACACATCTGTGTTTCGTGAACAATTCTGCAGCTTTGAACGAATCGTGAGCGTCAATCATTTAATGATTCATTCATAATTGCAGCCAGTTGCTTCGTTACTGATGAATGAATTACTAGATAGCTTGGCCATATAGGGGCTGTTTACACCTGGCCACTTCATGCGTTTTCTCAGATCGGATAGCTATCTGATTTATCAAAACGATTCCATTTACACCTGGTCACATAAATGTGTTTTGCAAAACGGATATAAATCCGATCTTCAATTCCCGCGCTATATGCAGATTTAATGAAGTGCACGTCACCGAAAGCAACAGATATGAGCTGCATTTTATTGATCATCGGCTAATTTCAAAATCAGCAAAGACGGTGATAAGAGAGAGCGGCAACAGAACTCGTAAGATCATTCTGTTTCATTACTTTTAATGAAGATGGTAATGTTAGCCCGATTGTGTTCTCATCATTTTAATGACGAATCATTCAAAAACATAAATGAATTCAAATGTGGATTCGCAAGCCGGTTGTTACTGAAGGAGGGCTCAGTACCCCTACAGTGTATATGGATCAGCCTCCTCCTCCAAATCACAACCTGTAAGTATTATTAATAATTGTTGCTTTTAGGGGTTTTGTAGCGTTGGGGCGCGAGGAGGGAAGGCGCAATAAGTGTGTGTGTGTGTGTGTGTGTGTGTGTGTGTGTGCGTGTAAGTTACGCTCAGCACAGCTTCTAGGTCTCCAATATCATTTTTTTTTTAAATATGTGAAATGTTTGTCGCTGTCATTGGAGTTGTTATAAAGAATAGAGCATCTTGTTGTACTGCAGTGCTTTATCAATATGTTTATGCGTTATGCTAACAAACAATAACTGACTGGGTCATCTGACCAATCACCGCCGATTAGCGTCACGCAAAGGAGTGGTTTGGAAAAATGAGTCGTTGTACGAATCATTTGGTAGTCGGTGAGCAAATCAGGTAAAAATAAATGCATATTATAAGACAACAAAATCGTTTTTGTCATTGCATTCGTGTAAAACTGTTGTTGGGGACTCCCAGAACAATATTAGGAACATTTTAAATGCCATAATAGGTGCTCTTTAATATTCAAAAGTATCACTTTGTTTTTACCATCATTGCATATTTCTCTATTGAACATTTTTTTTTATTATTATTCATGAAGGTAAAACAAAAATGCACTGGAAAAATACATGTATTTCCCTTAATTAAGGGGTATGCCACTTTAAAGAGGTTGGGTACCACTGGGTTAGATCAAGTCGAGACACATTTATTTATATTGTGCTTTTTACAATATAGATTGTTTTAAAGCAGCTTTACAGTGATAACAGGAAATTAATTCAAAAAAGTTTAAGTACAAAAAGATCCTTGAAATAAGTTGCAGGTTACCACTTTTTCAGTGGATTCAGTGGATTTTGACTTTTGCCACCAGGAAATTATCTAGAGGCACTGTTGACAAACCTGTGTGCAGTGATGATGCTCGCAGTGGAAACTTTTTGCTGGAATTGAATTATCATCTAAACAGATTATATGCCATTATATGGCCTGTGGTAAATGTCAAGTCAAGTCCCCTTTATTTATATAGCGCTTTTTACAATACAGATTGTATCAAAGCAGGTAAAGCAGGTTCTGGAGTAGATCTGGAGGCCCTTTTATTTAGTTTGATCCATGAGTTTTTTATAAATTAATAAAATAAATATTTATTTTTTTACTAATGTTTTTACCCATCTATATGATGTGTGCAGGGATGATTTGGTGCAGGTGGGTAAGGGTTCGAGTAACGGCACGTTGACGGTGCGGACAGTCAATGTGGGACTAACTCTGCTGGGGGTGTGGGACTCGGAGCAAGCAGGACTCGCTGACTTCATCGCTGTACCTGTCCAGCATGCCATCCATCCAGCCGAAGCCCAGCGGCTGATCGTGGGAGATGTGGTGTGCTTTTCTGCACAGATTATTAATCAGGAGGGTAAGACAGGACACAGACACCTGAAAAACACTACACACTACTTTGTTTTAGCCCAAACTGAGCGTTTCTGCAGGCATGGCTTTCTGTGATTGTTGTGCTTCTCATGGTCAGGTGCGTCGGGTGTGTGGAGCTCCTCGTCCAGTGCTGTGCTGGAGGTCGATCCCAGGACTGGAGCTGCAGTGGCTCGAGACAAGGGCACAGTCACCGTCTACTACGACATACCAGGGCAGCTCCGCACCTACAGAGAGGTGAGACATCACAATCAGGTCCTTCGTTTGGAGATATTTCGAAGAAGATATTTAGTAAAAATCATGAGAAGACAGTGGTCTAAATGGGATTCCTGTAGGGCTGCAACAACTAATCGATAAAATCGATTATAATTCATTAGTTGTCAACGAATGTCATTATCGATTAGTTGGTCTGATTACGTCACGGGGATTGTTTACATGCTACATGCGCTTCTTACATGCGCTTCATGAGGCACACACGCAGTTTCTCTCCCTCGCCGCTCTACCCTGTCTCGCGCGCGCAACACGGACGGTTTGGAGCACATTATCTTCTGTCTCGCATGCGCGCTCTTGATTCCGTGAGTTTGAACTAATTTGCGGGCATCAGGAAACCGCTATCCATATGCAGCATACACGAAAATCATTCACCTATCGGCAAATTCACCGTTTTGAAACCAAAATAGGTGACCTACGTTAATCGTGTATACTTTATGAAGCCATACTATAGTATAATGTGAGATAGAAATGTATATTTAAGTCATTAAATTCAAGTTAACCTAAGCTTTTCCCTCCACTGCGGCTGTCAGTCATTCTCTATTCGGTGTTCAAACAGCTCGTCGCGTTACAACAGTTAACATGATGAAACTCTTTCCAAGATGATTCAATGTTATTATTATAATTGATCCGTAGATAAAGGTCTATGATGGTTTCTATCTTGCTAGACTTTTATTGCTGTAACTTAATCACTTTCTACTGAGTGTCTGTTGGATCACATCACTAGAGTACAGTCGACACACTATAATTGTTCTTCACGTGCACAGTAGCCTAACTGAAATTTAAAACTGTTAAAAGAAAAGGCTTAATAAACTATTGCATAGATACTGTATGTGTCAATATGTCTTTCTCTTTCCTTGGTGCTTTTAACTTTAATGTGGCGGACACTGAAGATCTGCGCGCCGCCCTGTGACTCTGTTGCTTCAAGCGCATCATTCAGCGCTCGCGATGCGCATAAGCACTTTGTGCAGCTCTTTCATGATCATGTCATAATACTTTTGCGCAATGAAAGCTTATTAATAGCCTTTCTTGTTCTGTCCTATCTATTATATTTTGCTTCCTCACTAAACAGCTGTGCTTTACATTTAAAACAGCTGTGCATCTGATTTTTACGATGTTTTTCATGAATGTATAACAACAATACAAAGAGCAACGTGTAACGTTTTACCAGAGTTAGTGCTACACTTATTGTCTCTTATTTGTTCCCCACTAAAGGCCTGTTCACACCGGGACGAATTTCGCACGCGATATTCGTCGACGTTTAACGCCTCGTGACTAAACAATGGGCGCCAATGTGAGTGTTCACACCGACGTGAAAACGAGATTGGCGGGTTTGCTCACGTGTCTGGTACTTCTGAAGTTACAGTAAAACACAACTTGGGGGCGTTCAAACACAAAACGGTCTTGCCGAGCACACATACGGCGAAGAAGAGATCCTACAAGGCAAGATACCTATGGGCAAGATGAATGTTGAGCTGCTGGTCTCGGAGCATAAAGAGCTATATGATAATATTTATATTAGTATTTCTGTAATAAGTATAAGTATAGTATAGGGTGACCAACAGTCCTGTTTTCCCGCGACATGTGTAAAACGATCACTTTGTGCTTTATAGAAATCTGAGTTGAGATGAGAACTGCGCATAGTGTGAGTGTCAGTTCGATTTTGACAAGTGAGGAGAGGAGATAACCGCTCTGCCGACTCTTTGTATTCTTTCTTTTATTTTATTTTTCTATTGTGACCAGATGTTTGTTTGTTTGTTTTTATTTCTCGCTCAATCCCCATGTATGAGGACGAGAGTAACGTTTGAGTGGTTTTATTAAACGCGGGGAAATACGACAACTCTCGTCTCTCGTGCATCTGTTCATTCGACAACTAGTGCTATGTTTTTTATCTCTGGGCAACATCTCAACTTTGCGTTACACATGTCCTGTTTCCACGTCCTGTCCTGGCTGTTTTTAAGTGATGAAAATGTCCTGGTTTTCAAAAAAAACTGCTGGGAAAGATCAGTTCTACAGCAAAATATAGATGGACAAACAAGGTGGACGAGGAAGAAAAACAAGATAAAGAGGATGAAAACTAAAGATATAAATAGATTTTGTTAGTTCGTTTTGTAAGTTTGTGAGAGCTATTTTTTGTTACATCTGGAGGCATTTCTTTTAGTCATTTATTATTTATATATTTATTTTTCTAATACAGAAGACATTATTTTTATCATTATTTCATTCGTTTTTTGTCTGTCATAATAAAACATTGAGACATGAATATGATCACCCTAGTATAGTATTCTATTATTATTTCTGTTTTACATTAAGCGCCATCTAATGTCAGGGAATGAATTTGCATGTTCACTCGGCTCATCGTCAGCGAAAAACGCTTGGGTGTGAACACAAAAAACGCGTTGAAAAACGCTGACGAATAACGCGCGCTGATATTCGTCCCGGTGTGTACGGGCCTTAAGGAATGTTTTTTTTTTTTTTTTCACTAAATGTTCAGATTTTATAAAATTATTGTGCACTTGTGATATTTCTAGGCTAAGTTTTGCTGAGTTATCCACTAATCTAGTTTACAATGGCATTTTTGTCATAGGTTATTGTCATATATATTTTTTTTATTTGTTGTTTTTCTTTATAATGAAGTTGTCTGTATTAAGTAGATTGTTTAACACACAAAAGAGTGTGGTTTTTAGGGTTTTATTTAGTTATAATAAACAAAAAAATGAAATATAATTTTTTTATCCGATTAATCCAAAAAATAATCGTCCGATTAATCGATTATCAAAATAATTGTTAGTTGCAGCCCTAGATTCCTGTTAAATTGAAGACAGTCATTTACTGAAACATGTTTTCTTTAGGTTTTTATTGAAGGTGCAACTCGGACCTCTGTCATGTCCCCCTCAGTGAAGAAAGACAGAGACTCCAAAGTCTTGATGTCAACCAGGGACACCGGGAGCAACCTCATTGGTACAGATCCCTGCTTGAGTCGCTGTAGTCCTCACACTGACTTCATGCTTATGTGCTGTGTCTGACCTACTGATGTGTGTGTCCTGACCTGCTGATGTGTGTCTTGACCTGCTGATGTGTGTGACGTGTGTCCTGTCCTGCTGATGTGTGCGAAGTGTGTCCTGTCCTACTGATTTGTGTGACGTGTGTCCTGACCTTCTGATATGTGTGGCATGACGTGTGTGTCCTGCCCTTCTGATGTGTGTGTCCTGCCCTGCTGATGTGTGTGACGTGTGTGTCCTGCCCTGCTGATGTGTGTGACGTGTGTGTCCTGGCCTGCTGATGTGTGTGACGTGTGTGTCCTGACCTGCTGATATGTGTGAAGTGTTGTCCTGCCCTTTTGATGTGTGTGACGTGTGTGTCCTGACCTTCTGATGTGTGTGACGTGTTTGTCCTGACTTGCTGATGTGTGCGACGTGTCCTGCTGACGTGTGCGACATGTCCTGCTGATGTGTGTGACGTGTGTGTCCTGACCTTCTGATGTGTGTGACGTGTATGTCCTGCCCTTCTGATGTGTGTGACGTGTGTGATCAATGTGATCAGAATGTGGATTCAAATCTGTTTTCACACAGAGAGACTCACCCCATGTTACGGTAGTCATATATCATAACTGAACTGTGTTTGTTGCAATTCTCATTAGCTACAGAAATCCACATAATTTAAAAAACTATAAATATCATACTTAGGGCAGGCCGATACATTGATTATTGCAATATCTCGATAATGTTAAAAGTTTAGCTTGGGTTTCTAAAGACAGTAAACCAGTTTCACTCCCCTTTTTTAATCTCTCAAGTAAAGGGTTGATGTAAATTTTTTGGGGTTAGTTAAGTATAAAACACAGGAAGTTTCTCGTTGTAGTTCCATTCGAGTCGTTTTTGGAGGCATTAAACTTCCTGATTTTTAAAAGATGATATCTCTTCTTACATTGAACTTTCAGCTCAGCAACATTGTAGATACTATTCATGCACCAACAGCAACATTACACACTATTTAAAATGAAAAAAGTGAAATCGCAATCAACCACCCCTTTAAAACCTTGTTTTTTCTGTATCTGTACAGCACTTTGGGGCAGTAGTGACTGTTTGTAAACGTGCTATATAAATAAACTTGACCTTGACCTTGATGCTTTAGGCCTGTAGCCAAGCTGATTTGTGTTCATTTAGCTAAGCTCATTTATTTCATATTCATTCGAAAATAACTGTCACTTTAAAGGGATATTGTGAAGAAATTTTATTTTGTATTCAAATAAATTGTGCTCTCCAGTGCCTAGCTTCAAATGCGTGTTGCATCTACGGTAGCCATTCAAGTCTTGTGTTTTTTGAACAATCAAGGATGTTCCACATTACAGCTCCTCTCTGCCTAGTCTGTCTAGAACGCTTCGTTTTTGATGAAGCCCCTCCTTCCGAAATACCAAATGTGCTGTGATTGGTTAGCTAGCCCAGTGTGCTGTGATTGGTTAGCTGGCCCAGTGTGCTGTGATTGGTTAGTTAACCCAGTGTGCTGTGATTGGTTAGCTGACCCAGTGTGCTGTGATTGGTTAGCTGGCCCAGTGTGCTGTGATTGGTTAGCTAGCCCAGTGTGCTGTGATTAGCTGGCCCAGTGTGCTGTGATTGGTTAGCTGGCCCAGTGTGCTGTGATTGGCAGCGCTTAGGGAAATGTCCTGCCCCTTTATATCCTCTCAAATGCTGCTCAACCAAAAGGGTAATCCATCGACCGGAAGTTGAAGCCGGCCGGGTGCCGCCATCTTGTAGCAGAACTTAACTTGCGTTAGAATTTCCATTGACTCCCATTCATTTTGGCGTCGCTTTGACAGCGAATAACTTTACATCTGAGGCATTTGAAGACTCCATTTGCCCATTATTTATTTCTAAATAAACACAACAATGTATAAAATGCTCCATTACCTTGTAGCTTATGTTATGGCCCCGTAGAAGCAGTTTTTTGTAAAAGTTGGCTAACGATTGCGTCATAACCAAGCGACTCTCTGTCACACAGTACAGAGATTACCATATGGACAGGAGGAAAAGCTTGCAGACAATCGGGGAAACGTGGAGGCAAAATGACAAAATAATTAATCAGAATACCTAGCAAAAGTTTCTCCTGCTCCTAGCTCATGGACAGCTCCTACTCACACTCTCCGCCTCTGCAAGTTTCGAAAGGGAATGATTCAGATTTCTCATGCCACAGCCACTAGAAGACAGACGGGTTGCTCACGTCACATCTACGTCGTCAAGCTCTGTTTGAGTCAGTTTGAGTCTGCGCGTCAGGAACGGAAGTGCTAAAAAATCGCCAAAAACGGACTTCACTTGTCTCAATGGAGTTCCAGTGAGATGGCTCTGTCTCTCTGTCCTTATCTTTTTTTGATCATTAAAAATTAATGCAAACATTAAAATGAAATCCAGAGAAATAAAAACCCGAAAACGCTGATTTTGGGGGGGAAAATAAAACAGAATATGGGAAAAAATAAAATAAATTTCAATGGGACTAGCATCACATGGATTTGATTATTAAGAATCACAAAAGCTGAATAATTGTATTCTGTGAATGACCTGAAAGTGTCTGCTAAATGAACATGCAAATCTAATAGTCAATGCTATGATGATCAAATACATAACACAACATAACACAATCTGCTTTGCTGTGTCCTCAGGAATCTGCTCCTCGTTGCAATCGGACAGCATAGCTCTGCTCCACCCAGAGTCTTCCATCATCTGTCAGCTTCGCTTCACCAGCAGCGCAGTGGACTTCTCTGCTCACGACGTCTACCACACTCGCACCGCGTTCGACCCCAGCACAGGTCTCGCCAACCTCTGGCTGCCTGACTTCAATTGTTTCAGTGAATAAAGCAATGTTTTAATCTGTACCTCCTGTTGACGTCAGGTTTCTACAGCTGTGAGCTGAGCTTCAAGCCCATGAACGAACAGCAGGTGAAGGTGCTGAGCATGTCCATGACTGACGTGGACGTCACGGCCGGTGTGCAGGGTCACTTCACCGGTCAGCAGATAAGTGCTCGACTGCCCATCAACCCAGGCATTTACGCGGACCAGACAGACATCCTCCTGAGTAACCAGCACACGTCTGCGGATCTGACCATCTACGGGACGCCAGGTGCACTGCAGCAGCTGGAGGTAAAGCTCGCACCTTCGGCCGTTCGTGTCTGAAAAGTGAAAGGATGATCATTTTGTTGATGCAGGGCTTCAGACTTTGTGTTTTGCAACCAAAATTAGAGTGTGCGACTGAATTTTACATCCCGTCACACATGTGCAACCTTTTTTTTTTTTTTTACACGTTAAACGTGGAAGTGGCTTATCAATGAATCTGGAATGTGTGGCAGGCAGTGTTGGGAGTAACGCATTACAAAAGTAATACATTACAGTAACATATTACTTTTTGCTGTAACGCAGTAGTGTAATTTTATCAATTTTCAGTAATATTTTACTCGTTACATGTTCAGTGAGGCTTGTATTACAGTGTATTGTTTGCTTTTACTTCTTAAAGGCAACAGACTATGTGAAAGTTTTAAAGCAGTCTTTTAGTGCCAGTTCAGAGCGGTCGCGTCTGTAACATTGTTTTTTCCTCATAAACGAACACGAAAACTAAAATAAAATGAATATTTTAAGTTCTATGGAGACTGGAGAGCCAACCCTTCCTCATCCGATTTGCGCAGTGTAATTACAAAAAATATATTTTACCACCTATTTTTTTGTCACGCATGAATGTGTGTCTTTTCCCTAATATTAAAAATAAAACATAGACTGATATTTGTCTAATGTCTGGAGTCCTTTAAGGAAGTAGCCTATATACGTTTCAATACATGAATTTTCTGAGAATTTTTATTTCAAGTTTTGACTGCAAATGTCATGTCCATAATGCTGGACTTCCCCAATTTTAAATAATTTATCCTCAACTAGTTTTGTGGTGTTATAATGTTAACTTCAAATAATAGGCTACTAATAGCCTAATTTAAAGATAAGGCAGCATTGGATCTGGACGGTAAGGAGAATAACGCTGGAGTTGGAAGAGGTGTGTCGCGATTCTGTAGGTTTGTGGATGTGGCGAATCGCGATTTCAGTTTCATATTGCAAATCGTTACAGCCCAAAAGTTAAGTTCTACTTAGTTATTTTGGTGAAAGTAACTCAAAAGTAATACATGAGTAATGTAACACATTACAATTCTGGGACAGTAATATTGTAAGGTAATGAATTACTTTTAAATAACAGTAACAAGTAATACCTAATGTATTACAGTTTGGAAGTAACTTGCACAACACTGGTGGCAGGCCAATGATTGTGAGAAGAATTGGGGATGGCCACTGTAAGTGGCTAATGTGTGGAGGGGGAGGGACCTAGAAATAATCGAGCGCACGTTTAAACATCTGTGGGAAGGAGACAGAGATAACCTAACAAGCGAACTATTGACTCGTTCTTCCAATCTGTGGCCAGTTAAATTCACTTGCTGGCTTCCCAAGTCTGCGCCAGAGCAGATCTACTTCTATTGGATGTACCAATACAAATAAATAAAACATATCCGGTTAACTAGCAGAGCATTCATTTGTTATATCAGGCACACTGAATATAGCACACTGAAATGAAAGTGCTCGTTGACTCGATCCGTGGTGCTGATCAGGGTGGGAATTATGTAATTTTAGGGGCAAGGCCATTTGGCCTCCACCTTTTCTTTTTTTTTTTTAGGGGCACCAAGGCCATATGACAGGGCACAAAGGCCATTGAGTACAATTCGATAGTTTTCCCATTCAGATTAATACCATAACATCCTAATTTGGAATAAGACATGAATTATGAATTTTTTAATAAAAATAAAAAATTTAAAGATAGAGAGCGCGCGGCATTACATTCTAGAAGGTAAAAAATCAGACAGATAATATAATACAAACCCAATTCCATAAAAGTTGGGACACTGTACAAATTGTGAATAAAAACAGAATGCAATGATGTGGAAGTTTCAAATTTCAATATTATATTTAGAATACAACATAGATGACATATCAAATGTTGAAAGTGAGACATTTTGAATTGCCATGCCAAATATTGGCTCCTTTTGGATTTCATGAGAGCTACAAATTCCAAAAAAGTTGGGACAGGTAGCAATAAGAGGCCAGAAAAGTTAAATGTACATATAAGGAATAGCTGGAGGACCAATTTGCAACTTATTAGGTCAATTGGCAACATGATTGGGTATAAAAAGAGCCTCTCAGAGTGGCAGTGTCTCTCAGAAGTCCAGATGGGCAGAGGATCACCAATTCCCCCAATGCTGAGGCAAAAAATAGTGGAGCAATATCAGAAAGGAGTTTCTCAGAGAAAAATTGCAAAGAGTTTGAAGTTATCATCATCAACAGTGCATAATATCATCCAAAGATTCAGAGAATCTGGAACAATCTCTGTGCATAAGGGTCAAGGCAGGAAAACCATACTGAATGCCTGTGATCTTCGGGCCCTTAGACGGCACTGCATCACACACAGGAATGCTACTGTAATGGAAATCAGTGAACAGTGAACACAATCCACCGTGCCATTCACCGCTGCCGGCTAAAACTCTATCCACAAGTTTCCGAGGGGCGCTCCTGTAAAAAATAAAGTGGGTGAAACTTCCGGTGAGGCGGCGGAAGTAGCATTCCAATGGTATTTTGTGTGTTAGTTAGCGAAGAGGCTAGCTGTTTTTCGGAGAATTGTTTTACTATTTAAAGACGCAAATCTTTATGAGAGATGTCGTTACGGAGCTCAGGGACAATATGTGCTGTTCGCGGTTGTACGTATAACCGGACTAAACTAATTCAGTGGCTTAAACGGGATTGTTTTGAACATAAGCTGAAAACGAGTGATCCTGCCAGAGCCCGTCTCTGATCTTGCCAACGACTGTAGTTTCCATCACCTCCCAAAAGACGACGAATCTTCCTGTGTACATTTGTTTAAATTCTTAATATTTTATAAACTCTATCAGCATGTGATTGGCTGTTCGCTACTGATGTTACACCTAAACTCAGGATCAAAACCTGATACCAAATGTGCCAGTAATGTATTCAAGTAGCACATTAATTTATAATTTTGAATAAACTCCAAAGCACAATGACTAAGTGTGTATTTTTTATTTTAATTGTTTGTCAGCTCGTACAACTGTCTGTCACCTTGATGAGTATTGATTATTAATAATGTTATTATAATACTCCCAATCAACTACTGCGGAGGTAAAGGTACTGTTATTTCACCCTTTTAATTTCGTTGAGGTTGTGTTCCCACATCGTTAGCTAGTTTGGATCGCTATAACTTGAATGACTGTCAACTGTTGAATGAACGAGTGTGAAGCATGTCAAGTCGTGCTTTGTTTACTTCCAACCGGAAGTCGCGCCCACTTTTGACGCAAGGCCTCATGGGGCGTAGGAAACTTGTGGATAGGTCAAAAAAGAAGCCATATCTAAACGGGAACCAAAAGCGCAGGCGTTTTCTCTGGGCCAAGGCTCATTTAAAGTGGACTCTAGCAAAGTGGAAAACTGTTCTGTGGTCAGACGAATCACGGCCCTTGAATGCCCCACCATAGCGCCGACCCTGTTCCCAAATAATACATTACAACAGCGATAATCAAAAAAACGTAGTCAAAAATCAAAAACATAGTCTGGTATGCCTTAAGTCAACTTATATGGTCAAGAAAGATAGTCCCAGTATCATGTAGGCCTACTGAATCAGCTCTGAATTTAATATTTTTTGTAACTTTAATAAGGATTAATCTTTAATTTATATAGTCCAACATGCAATGTTATTTTACATTTGATTATTTTATTAAATTTCTGTACCTGAAAACTAATGTTATACCTACCTGAAAAGCATCGTTCATTTTATTAGTATCTTTGCTCTATTGTATTTATTTGTGCTTTTGCTTGTGGTTCAATTATTTGTTCTTATGTTCTTGATTTTATCTGACAGTAGTTTTTTTTCTCTGAACATATTATAATCCCGAATCATACCGAAACCGTGAACCTAAAACCGTGATATAAAAACTGAACCTTGAGCTATTTGAAAAAAGTTGCAGCTAGTACAGTGTCACAGTCTGAAGATGATTTATTGACTGAGACTGAGAGGTTATTGTGGCGAAAAAGGCCAAACCCACCATTTTCGTGAAGACTGGCTGCGAGAATTCAACTGGTTAAAGGATTAGTTCACTTTTGAAAAAACTTTTGCTGATAATTTACTCACCCCCATGTCATCCAAGATGTCCATGTCTTTCTTTCCTCAGTCGAAAAGAAATTTAGGTTTTTGATGAAAACATTCCAGGATTTTTCTCCATATAATGGACTTCAATGGGAACCGGATGGTTCAAGTATCAAAAGACGGTTAAAAACTGTTTCAGATGCAGCTTCAAATGTCTTTAAACGATATCAGACAATGAATAAGGGTCTTATCATGCGAAGCGATCGGTTATTTCAAAACTTATTCCAAAAATGTAACTTTTATAAGGACAAATGCTAGCCTTGCTATATTCTCTGAGGCGCGTTTGTAACGTCACGTAATACGTAATTACGTTCAAAAGGTCACGGGCGACGTAGCCGGAAGTACAGAATCAAAATCGTCCGACATCGTTGTTTTTCCTTTTAATTCCTTTTTTTGTAAACGTGTTTGAGTTAGTTTGCACGTTCAACCTATGCGTTCAACTTGTAAACACTGACTCTGTACTTTCGGCTACGTCGCCCGTGACCTTTTGAACGTAATTACGTAATACGTGACGTTGCAAACGCGCCTCACAGAATATGGCAAGGCTAGCATTTGTCCTTATAAAAGTTACATTTTTGGAATAAGTTTTGAAATAACCGATCGCTTCGCATGATAAGACCCTTATTCATTGTCTGATATCGTTTAAAGACATTTGAAGCTGCATCTGAAACAGTTTTTAACCGTCTTTTGATACTTGAACCATCCGGTTCCCATTGAAGTCCATTATATGGAGAAAAATCCTGGAATGTTTTCATCAAAAACCTAAATTTCTTTTCGACTGAGGAAAGAAAGACATGGACATCTTGGATGACATGGGGGTGAGTAAATTATCAGCAAAAGTTTTTTCAAAAGTGAACTAATCCTTTAAGGTAGTACTGTAAGGAGACGAATTCCATGAACTTCGAATGTTGCAGTTGCTACCCCATAACTGCGGGGAACACAAAATTTGCTGACAGTGTCTTACACAATCTTAGCCTCAAGCATAGAGTATGCGAGTTTCATTTATTACATGTTAACAAATCAAAAAGCAACGCCTCTGCCGGTTGCTTTTAGAAGACAAGAGGTTGTAGCGTTAAATCAGAGCGCAAAGGCATTGAAATTTCTGCATCTATTATCAAAGTATTTATTAGTAATACACTGGAAATTTGATTAGTAGAAATGTGAATATCTGGTTAGTATGTTGATTTACAGTGTGTGCTCCTAAATTTTCTGGTTGTGCCCCTAAAATTTTCAGTTGGGGGCCACTGTGCTCCTTGGGGAAAAAAGTTAGTCCGGAGCCCCTGTGATGTGTCTGAGATTGCTCAAACACGTGTGCTTGTGGATCTGATTGGTTCTTTCAGGTGAAGAGCAGTTCTCCTTCAGTGGTGATAGAGCAGAAGGAGGTGTCCCAGAGCTTCCCGAGCTACATCAGGTACACGGTTAGTGTGGTGAAGCCGCAGGGAGCTCTGACGGCCTCGGTGTCCGTGAGCAGTGGCTCCAGCGATCAGGTGCTGCTCATCCCTGTGTCCGTCATGCATCTGACAGCCAGCGCCACTTCTGTGCAAGGTTGGTTATAGGGGTGGTCAAAAAAATAGGTTTTTCGATTTATTTTTGTTTATTTTGTTTTTTTTTAAATGTGTCGATTCAAAACCGATTCTCAGAGGCCAAGAATCGATTTTTCCATATGCAGGGCTCGCGGTGCTGCGTCTTCTCTCTCTGCACAAGGCAAGCGTCAAGCGCTGCAGGGGTCGATACACACTCGTGTCAGGGAGTCGGGACATGACGGAATATTCACTACCACCATCGGGCCAGCATTGCATCATAACTTACATTTGTCTTTTTAAGTTTTACCAGTTTAAACATTAAGTCATTTTAAACTATCCAGTGCTGGCGCATTCTCCGAGATGTTTTTCACTGCGTGCACATACAGTAAAGCCTAAATCCGCCTCACAAACAGCAAGCCAGTAACAAAAGTTCTTTTTCAAAAACACGCAAAATTTGGAAAGGAAGTTCAGTTTCTGTAGTATTTCTGACCTACCCAAAAAAACTTTTTTCTTTTTATGTTTCTTTGTCTTTATTCTAATGTATTTATTTGTGCTACTTTTTTAATTTAATTCAAAGATTGAAATCAAGCCTCCATCCATGTGTTGCATAAACTCTTAACAAAAAAATTACCTCATTGTAAAAACAAACAATTATGTGAGATTGTTATAAAAAAATTGTCTAAATATGTATATTTATTTATCTATATCCATCTTAAACATAAAATAACCTAATCCTGTTTGATCAAGGTGTGCGACTGACTGTTCTGACTTGTCCAATTTTCAGCATCAGTTTTGCATCAAAATCCTGTCTATTCATTGTATGCATTTAGTTTAGTGTACCTAAAATAAGGAGTTTTATATACAAGTTTGTTAATAATTAAACTTTACTTTTTGTATTAATTAACCACTTGTAAACTTAAGTCCACTGTTCTTTTTTTTTTTTATAAATAAGGATTTGTATTACATCTATATTCATTATAGTCGAATCGAGAATCGAAATCGCATCGAATTGAGAGCTTGCGAATTGAATCGAATTTGAACATCTGAATCGATCCCAGCCCTAGTTGGTTACTCGTCGACAGCATAGGCGGAAATGTGTTTATGGTCAAGGCTACAGTAATAAGTAGTCTTTTATTGTAGTATCTTATGGGCTACCTAATTGAACGGCCAAAAATAGCAGTTTCAGAAGATATAATGAGCATTAGCTGTGTAAAGGGGTCGTGACATGAGAAATCTGATTATTTTTAAACATTTGCAGGATGTTGTAATAGTGCAGACATTGCATGTTTCTTAGCTTAAGCGCATCCTCCTCGTTAGCTTAAGCTCATCCTTCTCAGAAAACAGCATTTATTTAACCAAGCGCCAAAAACGGCTTGTTGTGGGATTTGTGATGTCACATAAACAAATTAACTTGCTTTTGACTGTCATCTTCAGTTAGGGCAGTTATTTATAAAGTATCTTTTTCACTGGCAGTCAGTCTCATAATGGCTGTCAACTGTGTACACCTTTTCTTCTAGCACAAATGGCAGATGGAGCAGATGGGCCCAATATTCTTCAGCAGTTTATTGACTCCTATCAAGTGATGTTCTTCACTTTATTCGCTCTTTTGGCAGCCACTGCTGTTGTCATCATTGGTAAATGCCTCCTTATCCTCCAACTCTTTTTAATATCGTGGGTTTTAGGACAGTGATTGTTCTTTTTTAATGTCTTTTTCTTTGTAACAATTATCTATCTTCATTTTATAGTGTGCCATTTGCTGTTTTCTCCAAGAGATCCTGTCAATCATCCTGCATTCATCCAGAAGACTCCGCCTCCCACAGGTACATGCATCTGGGAAATACCCCTGCAAGAATGCAACCAAATAAAACCCCAATAAATGCTGCCCAATTAACACCTGACCACTTTTTGCAGTACAAAATGTGTAACACAATGCACCTTTAACTTTCTTTAGCACACAAAGAATTGTGTAATATTTAGGAATTGTGGTAACACTTTACAATAAGGTTCATTAGTTAACTACATTAGTTAACATGTACAATATGTGAACAATACTTCTTCAGCATTTATTAATCTAAGTTAATATTAATTCCAACATTTACTAATACGTTATTAAAATCAAAGGTTGTATTAGTTGACATTAGTTAATGGACTGTGAACTAACATGAACGCACAATGAACAGCTGTATTTGTATTAACTAACATTAACAAAGATTAATAAACACTTTAACGTTAGTTCATGTTAGTTAATGCATTTACTAATGTTAACTAATGAACCTTATTGTAAAGTGTTACCGGAATTGTAAATGCTTGTTTTTTTCAGGTGTAGCTAAGCTGACCGAGAGCCCCTTCAACAACAGCATGTCTTCAGACATGAAGGGAAGCCCAAGATTACGCTTGTATTCTCCAGACTACAACTCCAGATAAACCTTTCTCCACCCAGAAGACCGAAGAAAGTGCCTTACCATTGAATACAGGAGTATAAGCGTGCTGGATACTTGCGCAAGAATATTGCTTACATGCTTCAAACAATAGCTTTTTCATTTGAATCATATGCCAGGGCTGCATAACTATGTCTGCTATTGTTTGATTATTTAAATGTTTGATGTGTGCACTCATTTATTATTGTTGCCATTTTTAATTTCAGTAGATTTTTCATAGCTTGAGACAGCCTAAGTTTTAGTGAATTGTGATGTTAAACGTGTCTTTTTTTCCTTTTGAAGCTCAGGACAACCTTTGGAAACTAGTGTGATTATGTAGCATGTTATTGTGTGAATAGTGCAACCACTGATTCCGTCCAAAGTGCTCTTACAAGTGTTTCATCTGCAAAAAAGTAATGGCCAGTTGTTTCATTTCGTGAACAATAATATTTTGATGTTTAATATTTTGAAGAGTTCTTTAGTGCAGCTTCTTTCGGTCATTGATGTGAATGTTCAAATGTTTTAGGGCTTAGTTCTGTTGACTTGCTTTGGCAGATTAGGTGGTTCTGGAAGGACAGAACCTACCGCAGCATTTGACATGGCCATTGATACTGATAATTCTGATAATACTGTGAGTTTGAGTCCGATTCAACATTATGACCATTTTTGACAGAATAAATCCTCAGCATGTTTAAGTGAGACAGAAATACTGTTTTAATGAATAATTTGTTTTCTGTCTTTGAGCCATAATGTGATTCATAGAAGTGCTGCACTGAATACAATGAATTGTGAGATTGCTTTTGTTCGGCATATACTTGTACATATACAGTTTAATCTGTATATGGAACCTCTTCTGAGCCTCATTGTTTGATTTGTCTATCATACCTCCCTCAAAAATAATAACAACAGCTTCTGCTTTGAAAACATTGTGCTTTTTGCAGCATGTGATCGATCTATAAACATTAAATATGCTCTCTCTTTTTTACTATCACTGATTGCATTTTTTTAGGTTCTGAAAAAATGTCTTCTTGTTCATTTGAAAAACTACTCTGTTACTATTGTAACCCCAGTTCCCTGAGAGAGGGAACGAGTATTGTGTAGCTATACACAATGGGGGAAACTCCTTTTCCTTGATTTACTGAAGCCTATTGTAAAATGCATTTGCAGCTGCACAGCCAGCACACTGAGCATCAGACACACTCATAGGCGGTGTTGCAGCAACTGCACATCCAATGGCACAGGCGACCAATGAGCTAGCCTTGTGTCAGAGCCCATCGAGGGGTCGTGACCCAGTCCAATAGACCCCCGAATTCGCCATTATAGCAGGTTTATACAACTGAAGCGACAAATTCACCAGTTACTCTAGAGCGGCCGGCTACGCAATACTCGCTCCCTCTCTCAGGGAACAGAGGTTACGATAGTAACACAGTAGTTCCCTTTCGAATGGTCACTTCGTATTGCGTAGCTATACGCAGTGGGGACACCATGCAAAACGCCGCCCCCCTGAGTGACTGGTTGCACTTAAACTCAGACCCTGAGCTGACAGAACAAACCAAAACCCACTAATATGTACCTGTATCACATGTACTTATGGCATCATCACAACAGCCAAAAACACCTGATCAACTTCCTTTTGTCTTTTTCTTGCCATAACAAATGCGTTTTATAAACACCCCCCCCCCCCCCCCTTTATGAAAGATTATTTCACGGAAGGTTCGAGTGGTGTATGTTGGCCTACAGCAGCCTATATGAGGAATTGGAAGCAAGCAGAATAGAGTGCCGAAGTTACGACGTCACTCTGTAGGCCGAAACGCGGAAGTGAGTTAGCGTTTGGTTACTTCCGGGTTCTGGACTGATCGATTAATCGATTTAAAAGGCTAAGAATCGAATTAATCGCGATTTTATAGCGATTCGGTGGTTTAAAATATATAAACACAACCTTAACCCTCAGGTGCTCTTCGGTCATTTCTGACCGAAAAATGTTCTGTTTTGACATTTTAAAAATCACAGCTTCATTGGAATGTTACGGAACTTGGTGACTTTTATGGCATTGGGTATGTGAACACAAAAAACAATTGAGGTCATGATCCGAGCAGGCTAAGTGGTCGTAAAAAAAATAGTCACACTTGTGCTCTTCGGTCAAAAATGACCGACCATAGGAAATGAATGGGAAATTGACAAAAACACAAAAACTTTGAGAATTTTTGTGTGTACAATCTACAAATCGGCCACGATGCAGAAAAAAGTGCTCAGCATTGAAGGGGTGACGCTGTAAAACATCAAGAGTGCAAAACAGACATACCCACCCCTACGCACACACATACACACACACTTTTATACACAAAAACACCAATAAATTGTGATTAAAGAAATCTGTTTTGAATATTTAAAAATCACAGCTTCTTCAGAAAATTACGAAACTTGGTGACTTTTATGGCATTGGGTATGTGAACACAAAAAAATTGAGGTCATGATTCGAGCAATTTAAGTGGTCGTAAAAAAATGAGAAAAAAATTGTTTGTTTGCATTTTTTATCCACATTAGTTCACTGTCTGTTAATTTTTGTAAGTGCAAAGCTTTCATGCAGGATCTGGGTGCTTGCTGTGAAAAAAAAAATCAATCGATAAACGCATATGGCAAATGAAGTGCATTCAACTCGCTTCAGCGTGTATTAATGAGAGGCGCGCGCACGCGAAGGGGCGTGCGATTTGTCCGCGAGTCGGAATTCGGTACAACACCTGCTGTTTTAATACCGAAAAGACTCGTGTTTTTCTTTTACACTACGCTGAACGGTCGGTTAAGTAAGCGAGTGTCATTGACGCACAGTGACCGGAAGTGTTCCAGCCTACCATAGACAAACCGGAAATTCCATTTCCGTTGTGGTGCAACTAGTCCCATGGCAGCTTTATCAATGGCTTGAGCGGGTTGCCTCAAAACTATTGCTTTCTCGACAGAGAGCTCAGCTGGAGAGCTCAAACATGGACTGCTCAAAAATCTGTAGTTACAAGCTATGTGACGAGCGCGAGCAAAATCCAGTGAAAAGATGTTAACGAGTGCACTGAGAGGACGCAAAATAAAACTATAATGAAAACGTCTCCATTAATTTGTGCATGTATAAGTCCGGTGGCCTAATAGCCAATTTACTTTTTAATTTAACAAGTTTATGTAGGCCTATAGCCAAATTTTTATTTGTATAATTAGGCCCATTGATTCGTTTAATTTTACAGTTGTTGTTTTTGTGTGTGTAGGTCTAAGCTAATTTAAATTTTAATAGTGCACGCTGCGCAAAAAATCAGTTAGGCTTATCAAAATCTGGCCTAATAATTAATTAGCCTATACTTTAATAATGTATGTATGTATATATTTTTTTACATTTTTGTTTATATAATTTTTAGTTATATTATTAGGCCCATTTATTCGTTTAATTTTACAGCAGTTTGTGTGTAGCCTACAATGGTTATAAGCACATTTAAATTTTTATCGTGCGCATTGAGCAAAAGTTCAGTAATCAAAATTCTGGCCTATAGTTAATTTGCTTTAAAAACTTTTATGTATATTTTTGTTTATATAAATTTTATTCGTATTATTAGGCCCATTTATTCGTTTAATTTCACAGGACTTTTTGTGTATGCTACATTCCTGTTCTTAGGCTAGTCCTAATTTGTAATTTGAAATGAAACATTTGTTTGGAAAATGTTGTTTTTGGTCTTTAGTTCTTTGTAAGGTAAGGCTGTGGTCTAACCTAAAAGTGAAATACAAATACATGCAGATTTTTTTCATTTTTTGGAGCAAGCAGGGGGGCGATTTGAGTGGAGCGCGTATGAACATTCTTTTACGCGCGAGCAACGCTGGGTAGGCTACAGTGATTTATACGAGGATGAACTGGCCGTGTGACAGAGCGGGCATAAGATGGACACGAGCTCGAACGCGAATTTAATAACGCGAAGCGTTATTAACCAATTATCCATATATAAGGCGCTCCGGATTATAAGGCGGGCGCTGTCCTTTTTTGAGAAAATTAAAGGCTTTTAAATGCGCCTTATTGGAAAATACGGGTAAATAAAAATAAAAAAACAAAACTGGACCGAGCAACTTTTTTACTCGGACAAGTGAATGGCAGATTTACTTAGCGTATATGAAAGGCTTAATGTCGAGCCTCCCTATGTAGCAAGCATCAGGAGACACACATACACCGGTATAGGCAGTGGCCCACCTTGGTGACCACGTCTTGGTCCACCAGAATTTATTGTTTACCCACCTCTTTTTTTTACCACTACACCTCTGCATACACCAATGCGTCATATCTGACTGAACTTTTGCACAGAGAGCCTGTGGATAACAATTTAAATTGTCTCAAACTTTAAAAAAAAAGAAAAAAAAGAATTGGCTTTTTCCTTATCTAGCCTACAATTCTTTTGAGTTCACCTTCAAGAACACGAGTTTGGACAATGTCTGAGGCTTC